GGTAACAAGTGAAAGAGCCAGACAGCTCTCTACAAAAAATGTTAAACTTAAACCAAGTTTGATATGCATACAATTGAATGATTGCAATTTTTCATTTCACGATTGAGAGAGAAGTCCTATCACCTATGCAAAAGCTAAAGATTGGCCATGCAAAGGAACAATGGCAATGAAAAATCTTTTTCATATTAAGCATTACCTGCAACCTTTTCTCCTGAAAATCCTTGCTGAGAGTTTTATCTTTGGAAGAACCTGGTTGCTGAAACAAAAGAACCTTTTTCTCAATTATTTTATACTGGTTACTTGACCAATGTTTTTTCGCTGCAAATATTCACATCAATTAAACATGTTTTATAGTACAAGAACAATGCTTTCCCCTCCAAAGCTATGACATTGTAATTTCAAAGACAGAACTATCTGGAATGAAGAGGTTAAGCAAGCAAAAAGTAAACAAAAAGATTAAAAACAAGGTTCTCAAATTCTTCCCCTGGAATGGACAAACCTATTTTCCCGCTAGCTCTAGTGTCAATGGCAAAATCAAATTGGGTAATGGGACACCTGAAGCACATTATTCTTGTTGCAGCAAGATTTTCCAAGATTTCATAGACATCTTTTTTCTAAAATGAAGCAGAAAACCAGCAAAGTCAAAGAAACACCATTTTCCAGAAATAGACTGAAGTACTATCGCAAGTTGCCAAGGAATAGAGACAATGACATGATAAGTATAAAATCTACACAATACACTGTAAATAGCAAAGGCATAAAATATCACTTTAGGAATCGAGAATAAACTATCCAACCCGGAAAGGACAGGGCATGAGTATGCCAAATAGATCATCTCGGACATCACTTGAGTCAATAGAGTACATTGCATTCTTAAGCCCATGAGAACCAAGATACTCTTCAGATTCTTTTGCCAGGCAATACCCTTTAAATACACTTATGGAAGGCTCACCAACCTGAAAGAATTGACAAAGAAGCCATCATCATTGCTTCTGGTAAAGAGGTCATAGCATATTTTTCAAATCATTACCTCACAAAAACTGTAGTCAGAATTTAAACACATTTCAGGCCTAAGCAAACATCATTTGCAGAGCAAGAAAAGCTTACGCAGGACCGGATTAGGGCCTGGAGATCACTTAAGCTCTTGTAGACCCCTATAACATCGCCTTTGCGAACGACGTAAAAAGCGTCCTTTTCATCCCCCATTGATGTTTCAAATTCAAGCCCTCCTTGCTCTACTTAGCAAATTAATAGCACTGCAAAGAAACACTTTAAAATTTCCGACTGAAAATGTAAAGGGAAAAACTAACGAAACTTCAAACAGTGCAGAATGAAACGGTTTAAATTTAGAGCAGAAGTAGTAATTTACACAGTCCAGTAACTGAAAACCCTAATAATCAGAATGAAATTGAAATTGGAAAGGGCATTCTCACAGTTGAGAAAGAGATAAATCATGATCACTTAGGGAAGGGAGAGATGAGACTAACAGGAGAACACCGGCGGCGAGATTTGTCAAGTACGGCCGATATTCCGGGGAAGCGAAAGGGACTAACTGTTGCGAGCTATCATAAATGCAGTTTTCATAGTGATGTGCTCTGACAATTGCTCTGACAATGATTAGACAATTGGAGAACAAGGGAAACGATTGAAAATGTGTGTATCAACATTTATTTTTTATACTCCGTATAATTTTTCAATTTTTTAAAAAAATTTTAATCAATAAATAATATAAGTGATTTTTTATTTTGAGGAAAACAAACTTCATTAATTCAAGGGAAAATGACACTTTTTCCCCTGAGTTATATACCTATAGCATTTTTTCTCCCTAAATTATTGAAGTGGCTGTTTTTCTCCCTGAAATGTTAAATGGACATATTTACCCTTAAACTAAATATTTAATTTATTTTTTTTCTCCAACAAATTATGACCATAATTTGGTTCAAACCAAACAAACACTATAGCAACCAAACCGAAATATTCCAATTACAATTTAGAATCGAAATTCGATATTTAGAGTTTATTAAAATTGTGAACCGGAACGGACGGTTCATGTTCCGAACTGAAAAAATAAAATACATTTATTGTTGAATTTAGACTATTTTAAAATAAAAAATAAAATTTTAAAATAAAAACGGTTCAAAATTGCAAATCGGATCCAGAATCGCCGGTTCACGATTCAAGATTCAATTTTTTTGATACATAATTTTAATAAATTGACATTTAAATATTGGGTTCTAGATCTGAATTATAACCGGAAACTATTAATTCGATTGCTTTAGTATCCGGTTCAATTCAAACCGAACCGTGGTCATCCCTACGTATACGCAATAATTTGTTGGAGTAGTAAAATAAATAAAATGTGTACTTTAAGGGTATAAATGTCAATTTAATATATCAGGGGGGAAAAACACCACTTTTAGAATAATTGAGGGGGCTAATATGCTTACCTAAATAATTGAGGGGGAAAAAGTGCTATAAGTATATAACTCAGGGGTAAAAAGTGACATTTTCCCTTAATTCAAATTCTTCCAAAAGGCTGAACCCCAACCCTAAGGGCCCCCCACACCCCAGCCCGAGTCCCCCTCACTTTGAGAGGTTGCTCCCACACTGCCGCTGGTGAGACTTGATCCCTGGTCATTCTTCCAAAGTTTCACCTCTATGACCAATTGAGCTACCCATGCGGGCTCATTAATTCAAATCAAAGTACAAATCGTTAACAATAAACGAAGGAGGGGTAGTGATCCACTCCTGACGTACAAATATATAACAAACTTCCCTAGCAAGGCTATGGGTTATTCTATTCACAGTACGACTAACATGAGAGATATCTACGTGGGTGATAGAACGTAGAATATCTTTGATATCCAAGGTCAAAAGAAGAGTCATCGGCACTATGCTTTAAGCTATGAACAATCTGTAATGCGTCCAATTTGATTTGAATTCTGCTCACACCTTGTCTCTTAATTCATGATAGAGCCTCTCTGATTGCCACAGTTTCGGCTTTTTTTGGACTGAGTATACCTCTACCAGGAATACTAGCAACAACAACAAATTGACCAAAATCATCTCTGAGCACCCAACCAAAGCCCACATGCTTTCTCTGAGAATCAACTGAAGCATTAGTATTGAGTTTGAGGAAACCTGGTTGAGGTTTTCCCCACCTTTGAATCTGCCTATTTCTGGATGCTGAAGTGTCTTCGCTGCTACCAGTTACATTCAAATCTATCTATCTATCTATACATTAAAGTACAAATATTTTGGTAAAAAAAAGTTATTTTTCCGCCCATGCTGAACGACGTTGTTTTCTCATATTGTTGCGCGGACTTATCTAGACCATTAGATGCGCTTAGATCAGCAGTTGAAAATCAATGAATATAGGAAAAAACGTGTTGGCATTTTGCTAAATTTTTGTACCATGTATATTTTGGTGGTACACTAAGTGCTGGGGTGTGGTATACTTGTGAGTGCTATGTGGTGCACTTTTGAGTGAACTGTGATGTACTACAAAATACTAGTCTATGGTGCATCAATGAAAAAAACGGGGGTGACATTTTGGTAATCACTGTACCATGTATGTTTTAATGGTGCATTAAGTGCTAGGACGTGATGCACTGATGAGTGCTCTATGGTGCACTTTTGAGTGAATTATGGTGTATCACAAAATGCTAGTTTGTGGTGCACTAATGAAAAAATACGGTAGCATATTGGTAATTTCATGCATCATGTATACTTTGGTGGTGCACTAAGTGTTGGGAGTGTGGTGCATTTATGAGTGATATGTGGTGCACCTATATAAGTATCATGTGATGCACCTATGAGTGTCCTTTTTGATAGGGGTGAGCATAATTACCGAAAAACTGACAAAACCGATAACCGAACCGACCGATAATTTCGATTATCTGTTATAAGGCAAAAAAAAAAAAAAAATCGACTATTCGGCTATTCGGTTATTTATCGATTATGAAGGTGTAATAACCGCAGTCACCGAATAACCGACACTATTATTATTATTATTATTATTATTATTATTATTATTATTATTATTATTATTATTATTATTATTATTATTATTGTTATTATTATTATTATTATTTATATATATATATATATATAATATTACTTGTGGATGCTCGGTTATTCGGTTAATCGAATAACCGACCGAAACCGATTATGTTGGTTTCGGTCGATTAAAAGTGTATGTTCGGTCGATTTTGATCGGTTATGGAGATTTAAAAAATGTCATCGGTTATCGGTCGGTTATTAACCGTAACCGGCCGATGTTCACCCTACTTTTTGGTACACTAGGATTAGATGCACCACTAAATATATGTAAATGCATTAAGCTGCACGATCATACAATAAGGATTGTCTACTATATATTGATCAATATATTATTGTCATTTTTATGAACTTTTAATATTATTTTTGTAAACCAACAATACTATTTTAATGAACATGAGTCCATGATTATTACTACAACACAACTTTCATTTTTGCTAATTCTAGAGTATATTTTTAGGATACTAATTAATAATTATCATCCATCCAATAAGTAGTTTTGCTTATTTGGCTTACGCGCTTGATTTGTTGCTCTTAACAATATATACTCTGATTTCAAAATAATTGACACAATATTCAATCATGTGACATATCATACATACTCCTATTTTTTACTCCATTTCTTATTCTCTACTTAGGTGATATTTTTTTGATTCATTGATTCCGCGAACCAAGTCACTTTTGCATCCATGCATGCATAATAATCAATTACTCTATCCTAGTTTGGTATACAGTACATGTATAAGATATTTTGTAGTAAATAAGGAGGAAGAATCAGAATCAACCCCGTCTATTGTTTGTTTTCATTTCAATATAATATAATATGTAATTATGTGACTTCCAAATCAAAATTGGCACCTCCATCACCCTTAACTTGTTACTAGTTTTTTAATATATAGTCTGGTCTTCACTCTAGCTCTTTCCATTCTCTCTTGAGCTCGATGGGGGAAATGGACAAACATTTTGGGCTGGGAAACACGGGTGTTCTATGCTTCTATTCACTATTTATATCTCTTATTTTCTCCGTTTACATATTTTCTTCTTCAAATCTGCTCAAATTCACAGCCTTCCACGCTAATACAAACGGTTGTTTTCAGCGTGCTCAAACCAGTGAGTAATAATTATTAACTTTAATTTTTTTTTAGTATTATTGACTCTGTTATAATGTAGTATCTGTCCATATATATTTTCTCAATTTATTGAAGCACATATATATATTTGTTGTTTAATTGTTATAGATAATGAAAGCTGCGACTTGTTTGATGGTCGTTGGGTTCCAGACAAAGACGGCCCTCTATATTCCAATTATAGCTGTCCGACCATCCCTACGATAAGGAATTGCTTCTTTCATGGAAGGAAAGATAGAGATTTTCTTTACTGGAGATGGAAGCCAGAACAATGCCAACTTCCTCGGTTCGATTCCAAAGCGTTTTTGAGCATTGTTCGAGGAAAGACAATGGCTTTCATTGGTGATTCAATCGCTCGGAATCAAATGGAATCGCTTGTGTGCCTTTTGTCCATGGTTAGTGATGGATTTAATTAACTCGGGGTGACCCGAATCAATTAAGAACGTAATACGAAAAATAAATCATATAGAACGATGTCGTAAAGGCCGTGAGACCGTATATTATATTAAATGCCGTAGAATTGGTTATTACAACAATTTGGTAAGACAAAGTGTATAGAATAGGAAGTAGATGTCCTAACAAGGTGAGGTGGGGGGGTTTTTATATGCAACAAACCCCCCAATCGCTCCCCCTAAAAAGGGAGCGGTTAGATCGCCCTTTGACCGGGGACCCCGGCGGATCGGGTCGGGTCCCGAGCTCGGGTGGTGCCGAGCTCCCTTACCCGAGCTCGCTATGGGTCGAGCTCGGGTAGGGTCGTGCTACCCGACCCGAGCACACGTCACTCGGCTCGGATCGAGATACCTACAAGGTGCTGTGGATCGGATACTTTTGGGCTCCAACGTGGTGCTCCGGATCCGCATTGTTATTTTGGATCAGGTCGTGGATATAATATATCCGTCAGTTAGCCCATCTCATCGATGGATCTCCTCTTTCCTAACATCCTTCTACTTTGTTTTTCTATATATATGAAATACCAAATCTTGTTGGGCTTAATTCACCAATATATAGGGCATGTTTAGAGCTTACTCCAACGCATTAATGCAATAGGTAGGCAAAAATCCATGTTAGCAACTCCAATGTATCCACAAGTTAAATAATACCACTACTATTCCATCCACATGGCAAATTATGCTATATAAGGTGGACACAGTTTCAAAATTGTTCATAATTATGAATATATAGTTTAAAAATTATGAACATACAGTTCTATAATTATAAACATAGAGTTGTGAACATAATTATGAATATATAGTTTTGTAATTATGAATATAGAGATTCAATAATTGTGAATATGAAGTTCAAAAATTATGAATATTTAGCTTTATAATTATGAGCATATAGTTATGTAATTATGAATATAGAGTTCAATAATTATGAATATATAGCTTTATAATTATGAACATAGAACCGTGTCTACCTTGACACGATTCCACAGCATAACGATTGCCATCCACATATACCATACACAATGTTGTAAAAATCATGCCTAGGCGCTAGGTGGTGACCGACTGCATAGAAAATCATTGAAATCAGTGATTTATGCGGTCAGCCACATAGACGCTCTAGGCGGTCTAGGCGCCGACTAGGTCACAACGGGGCCGACAATTAGTTATTGTTCCGTTTTTTTAATGGGCCGGGTTATTTCACTCAAGATGACGTCGAAATAATCCTAAATCGTTTAAATCGGTTGCAAACTAAAAAAAATCACTCGAAATGACATCATATACTAAAAATACATTATTTGTGTACTAAATGTACACTATTTGATGGTATGACACACACAACTAACGATTGGTAATGATGGTGCAGGAAGAAAGTCCAACAAGTATATCCGAGGATCCGGACGAGGAGGAAAAATTCACCACAGCATGGCATTTCCCCCATCACAACTTCACCCTCAAGGTTCACCGCTCAGTATTCCTCGTCCGCCCCACCCAGAAAGTGAAGAGCAATGGGTATTCCAAAACCCGTTTTCACTTGCTCCTAGACCAACCAGACCCAAACTGGACCCAAAACCTATCAAACGTGGACTTCGCCATTTTCTCCGACGGCCAATGGTTCCTCCGCCCCATCTACCTCCACGAGGCCGGCAACCTCACCGGCTGCATATTCTGCCGAGAACCAAACGTGCAAGACTTCAGCACAGGCTTCGCCATCCGGAAAGCATTCAAAGCCGCTTTCAAGTACGTGAACGAGAGGCGAAGCGGCATTGTGGTGTTCGTGCGGACGTTTTCGCCGTCCCATTTCGAGCACGGGGCGTGGCATAATGGTGGGTTTTGTAATAGGACGAGAGGGTTGAGTAGAGAAGAGGTGAAAGTGGGGGGTGATGATTGGGAATATAGGAATATTCAGGTTGAGGAGTTTGAAAGAGCGAAAAGGGATGGGGAGAAAAGAGGGAACAGGTTTGAACTCATGGATGTGACTCGAGCTATGATGATGAGGCCGGATGGACACCCTGGGGAGTTCTGGGGAAATAAATGGATGAAGGGTCATAATGACTGCCTGCATTGGTGCTTGCCAGGGCCAATTGATACTTGGAATGAGCTTTTGCTTCAGCTGCTTCGTTCTCAACATCAACCTTAATTGACCTATATATATTGATTGACTTCAATTCCCATCCACAAATTAAAGTTGTTTTTTTGGCTTGTAAAACACATTATTATTGATTTGATTTGATTACTTTTTGTTGGAGTATCTCCTTTACAATAGCTTTCTAAATTTCAAGACAAAATATATATATTTTTTATTTTTTTGAAAGGAAGACAAAAAATACATATTGCAATTAATTCATAGTGGTGAAAGTGGCTAAATTAAATTAAAGTTCCATATTTTCATCAATTAGGATTAATGGATAATTTTCCGTGTGAATGGATTATCTTAAGATTATATTGGTGAAATGGTGCCTCCAAAATTGATAAAACAGGTTATCATGAATAAACCATTTTTTTAAGTATTGTGATTGTGATATTAGAGTATATAAGATATAGGAGAGAAGATAGAGCTATCCAAGATCTCAACTTTAAACTTTATACAGAACTAGTCACATAGGAGCAAGTTTGCACATAATAAGGCTGAACCCATCCCTACAAATAATCCATTGACAAAGTGATGTGGAATAATATTCTATTTTTTTTTAAAGTCAAAAATTTCGGATTGCATTAATTCATGGTAGTAACAATAAAAGAGGGTAGAGTATCCCTCCAGACCGTTCGTGCTTCGACCACACTTACATGTTTAGCTAAGGCATGAGCTACCGAGTTGGTGTCTCTGCGTACAAACTTAATAGAACAAGAAGCGAAAGAACGAATTAAACGTAAACACGAATCTAAGACAACACCAAGATACAAACGAAAAGAACTGGCATCCCGAAAACTAGAAACAAGGACCGCATAATCCGAAAAAATCTCAACATTGTGATAGTTGTGTTCTTGTAGCCACGATAGGGCCTCTCGTATCGCCATGGCTTCAGCTAGGAGAGGGTCATACGGACATAAAAGAGGACCATTGGTCGCTGCAACAAAAGCGCCTTCCATGCTGCGCACGTAGAAGCCATAAGTTGGCGAGTAATCTGAACCATAGAAGCCGGCATCAGTGTTGCAGACTACCGCATCCACAGGTACTGCATGTGAGCGGTCGGCGAAGGCAGGCGGCAAGGGAGCAGCCAGCGGAGGGGAGGCAGTGTGACGTCGTGCGTTGCTCGAGTTCCAGGCAGCCCAAGTACTTTGGAAGGCGTGGCATATATGCAAAGGAGTCGGCAACGCAAGTTCCCAAACAGCCATGTTTCGAGCCCTCCAAATTTTGTAGAGTATTCCGCAAATCTGCTCTTTTAGAAATCCAGTAGATGTTGCTAAGCTTCCCAACCAAACTTCCACCCATTGCATAAAATCATAATCATCAACGTTAGGGATATGGAGGTGTGAAACATTCCACACACGTCTAGCATAAGCACAAGTACATAAAATGTGCATAACATGCTCTTCACAAGCACCAGAAACCGGGCAAATATTTGAGATCTCTACACTTTTCTAGTCAAATTAGTAATAGTTGGCAAAATATTAGAGAAGGCTTTCCATAGGAAAATCCTCCATTTATGAGGGACCTGGAGGTTATTCCAAAATGTACCATGGGGGTGTGAATTTCCCCTAGGCATCTATAGCCATCTTTTACCGTATATAGTCTCCTGATATCCCCCTTCCAAAACCAATCATCCTTAAATTTAATGCTCACTGGGGTCTGTAGAATTAAATCAACATCCCTGGGAGCAAAAAATTGTGTAACTAGTTCATGGTTCCACCTCCCCTGCTCATAGGGAACTCCACTCCAGTTGATAAGGCTATTAGGGGGTGGGGTGGAATGATAACTCGTAAAGGTAGTGACAGTAGAGAGATGGGAGGTATACACATTTCTTGGAGGGTAGTAAGGAGTGTAGAAGTATAACATGGAATGTAATATTAAAAGGAGAAACCAGAAGCTTGAGTGTGTAGGAGGACGAGCACTGAAGTGATTTACGCAATAAGAGTGAGGGAAGTGAGATGAGTGTTGGAGAAAAAGTGACAAAGGCCCTGTTTGGTAAAAAATTGGCTTATAGGTCAATTTTGGCCTATTTGACTACTATTAATTGTTTGATTTAGTTAAAATATCAATATAAATGTTTGGTTAATTAGATTTTTGCAACTTCAAAAGGCTAAAATTCAAAAAGCTACTCCAAACAACTTTTTCAATTAACTTTTTGAAAAAAGAAATTATACCGAACAACTATCAGCTAACAACTAATTTACCAAACACTTTTTTACAATCAGCTAATGTTATCAACTATTTATACACTCTAATTAACACAATCAGGTAACAGCTAACAGCCATTTTACCAAACATGGCCAAAGTGAAAGTGAAAAGTGGGAGGAGGACTAGTGAAGGTACTGACAGTAGAGAGAGGAGGTATACATATTTCTTGGAGGGTAGTGAGGAATGTAGAAGTATAATATGGAAGGTAAGATTGGAATAAAGGAGAAACCAAGAGCTTGAGTATGTAGGAGGACGAGCACGGAAGCTTATTTACGCAATAAGAGCGAGGAATTACAGCGGAGAGTGAGAAGAGTATTAGAGAAATGAGAAAGGTGAAAAAGTAAAAGTGAAATGAATAATGTATGTATTTATAGGAAGGTAGGGTGAGCTAAGATCATCTACGTGTCAAAGATATGAAGGGTTACATTAGTTGATGGAACAAATAAAAGGGAATAAGGTTCAAATAGGCTACTCAACTGTACACTAAATTACAATTAGGTCATTGAACTCAAAAACAATACAATTGGGTCCCTGAACAACACAAGATCATGCAATTAGGTCTAAAATAACTTGTTTACCTGAAAAAGCAGGTTACCAATTTTAAAAATAATTTAAAATAAAATAATTAATTAAAATTTTTAAAAAAAAAAAAAAAAACAAAACAAAACTAATCTACTGATTCGTCTCCATGGCCGAAACCTACGTCTCCAGTCATGGAGACGAAGGGAGAAACTTCATGGCCGGAGAAAACCAACCATGGAAACGAAGGGAGAAACTCCATGGCCGGTGGTCTCCGCCGTGGAGACGAAACTCCATGGCTGGTGGTCTCGGCCATGGAGACGAAACTCCATGGCTGGTGTTCTCCGGCCATGGAGACGAAACTCCATGGCTGGTGTTCTCCGGCCATGGAGTTTCTCCCTTCGTCTCCATGGCGCCATGGAGTTTCCCCCTTCGTCTCCATGGCGCCATGGAGACGTAGGTTCTGGCCATGGTGACGAATCAGTAGATTAGTTTTTTTTTTTTTTTTTTTTTTTAATTATTTTATTTTAAATTATTTTTAAAATCGATAACCTGCTCTTACAGGTAAACAGGTTATTTTGGACCTAATTGCATTATTTTGTGTTGTTTAGGGATCCAACATTGTTTTTGAGTTGGATGGCTTAATTGTAGTTTGGTGTATAGTTGGGTGGCCTATTTGACCCTTATTCCCAAATAAAAGATTCAAAACTTGTTAGAGAAGCTAGAAATTCAAAAACCCCAATAATTGGTGATTAAATACAAATGTTTTGAAAACATACAATTTTTGGCTTTTCCTCTACTTTTTTTTTCGTGAAGACGAGCAATCTACTCGTCGTCCTTGGTCTACTTTTTTTTTCCCCTCTGTTTGAGTCACTGTATTCATAGTCAATCCGTAATTAGTGGTAGTGATTTAGTGCATAGCCTCTGTTTGAGTCACTGTATTCATAGTCAATCCCTAGTTAGTGGTAGTGATTTTAGGGACTTCCCTACTCTAACAGAGAAAGAATCAATAACGTGTGCACTGAGAGGCGAACTCGCAATCTTCCAAATAGAAGTCCAATTCGGATACTATTAGATCATATAGTCTTGGTGGCTGTGGGATTTAATTACTCTGAATTGTATAAATATCCTGCAAAAATGGCTTGTAAGTTGTAACGGGTTCACAATATTATTCAGTCAAGAGCAATACAAAATTTCACAATTTCTTTTTGCAAACAACATTGTGTTCGAACGTTTCTGTTCACTGGTAGGTTGACAACTGGACAATCATAAAACCTGCTCATAATGAAACACAAAGAATCAACATTGCCTTCACTTAGGCTCAATCTCATAACCTCCTACATAGGAGAGGTCACTACCTGCCATCTGAGTACAAAACTAATACACTCATTTAATTTGTGAACATTGTCAGAAATTATTTTCTAAGAGTATTTTGACCGAGTTAATTCTGTGGACTAGATTGCTAATATATCATTCATGCCATCATCCATTAGACGAATTGTTATGCTGTGGAACCGTCACTACTGGAAATTATGAAATTTCCGACCACCTGAAAGTGATCTTAAATTAAGTCAAAAGTCTTGTTCCGACCACTTTTAGTATCCGGAAAAGCCTTTGTTACTATTTCCGACCACTTTTTGGTATCAACTTGATTTAAGATCACTTTCAGGTGGTCGGAAATTCCATAATTTCCAGTAGTGCGTGTCCACCTTGCAAGGTGGATACAGTTTTATGTTCATAATTACTGAACTATATGTTCATAATTATAAAGTTACATATTCATAATTTTTAAATTTCATATTCATAATTATTGAACTCTATATTCACAATTACAGAACTCTATGTTCATAATTACTAAACTATATATTCATAATTATAAAGCTATATATTCATAATTTTTGAACTTCATATTCACAATTACTGAATCTTTATATTCATTATTATAGAACTATATGTTCATAATTATAGAACTATATGTTCATAATTTTTGAACTATATATTCATAATTATGAACAGTTTTAGAACCGTGTCCCTCTTGCAAGTTGGACACGATTCTATAGCATAATTTGCCTCCATTGGACCTACTGGGCCGTTGGACGGTTGGACCTATGCCATCACTAGTCTTTTATATATATATACATACTTTCTCTGTCCTATTTTATTTGTCACACTTAGCTTACGATTTGTCAAACTAATTAATTTTTTTTTATTTTCTTTAGTATTTTTTTTTACTTATTTTTAAATTTGATTTTTTGTGTTTAATAGCACTTTTAGTATAGTTTCTAAATATATAAATTTTATATACTAATATCAAACTTAATATCATGAAAAATTAGATTAAAAATAACTTCAGTCAACCGAACCATACACATAAAATGAGACAGAGTTTTACTTAAATTTTTTTGTCGGTTAATTAAATTATGAAACATGATATGAGTTTTACTTCTGGGATCTCCACTTATCATTTTAGGGTCAATCATGCATGCATGTGGTTATCTTTCGCATTATTAGTTTGGATGCTGGCCTGGTCATGTGGAACTGGTATTAGTTGGTTGGGTGGTTTACCTAATCAGTATGACCAGATCTGCGGACCTAGCTTGTCGGTATTTGCTCGGCTAAAATAACCAATTACTCTATCCTGGTTTCATACCGTTCATGACTCATGAGTTGTAATTACCCATAAAGAGTCCAACCCTGTTGGTGTTTCCATTTTGATGTACAAATCACAATGCAATCATGGCCACATGTTAAGATCTGCGACCGGCATGGACAGCTCAGTTAGTTACATGAGTAAAGTTTGAAAATAATGACTCGAAATTGAGTTTCACAAACTCCTTTTGCCCAGCAAGCAAAGATCTAGCATCTGTGTTCAACTGAGTTATCATGATTTATATCCTTCCAGATGTTCAGTGTGACGGGGCTTGAGGGTCCTTGCTTTTTGAAAATAATGTTAAAATCAAGCGCTTACCATTACGCCAAAAACTATAGACAAGTGCTAGATTTAACTCTTTAGGGTTGTTCTTGCTAGGATTTGAACCAGTGACCAAGTAACGAATGTGCAATAACTTTATTTACTTATACCATCAAACATTTTCTAGAGTCAAGGTACTGAATTTGAACCTTTATCGGTCTTCACTCAACAATTTCTCCTGACTAATACTGGATTTGACCATTTACGGGCCTCCACCCAACACCACCAAATTAAAATTACCAGCTTGGCCTTCTCTGCATGCGGCAGCAGAGTCTGCCCACTGTCCTAACGAGTGACGACCTTCCTCCAGCTGTTATTGTCTCCATTCCCCAAACACCTTAGTTTTTAATCTTCTTCATTTTTCTTTCATCGAGACTGAGCTCTGCTTGTCTGGAGAGATGGATGCATCTCAGACCACCAAAAATCTCCACAACTGCCTCGTTAAGACCGAGAAACTTTTCGGCCTGGGAAGCACGGGTTTTCTGTGGTTCTATTCGCTCTTTTTTTCTCTTATTTTCTCCTTTTACATCTTTTCTTCTTCAACTCCGCACAAATTCACGCCCATCCAGGATAATGCCGACAATCCCGCAAATGCCTATTTTCAACACCTTCAAACAGGTGAGTAATATAATTACGTGTTCATATTCCTAAGCACTTTTTAGTTTTTGCGAATGTACAATTTTATTTTCTTATAACGTTATATATTTTCAAAATCCTGGGTGTTGGACCAGTCTTTTTAAGTCCTTTACTGGCCTTCCCGCCCAATAACCCTCAACCATCATGTGCTAGATTTGGCCTTTACTAGCTTCCACTCACCACATTGGTCATGTTTGATAAATAGTTGTTAGCTGATAGTTGGGTGATTAGATCAATTAGAGGGTATAACTAGTTGATAACATTCTGATAGTAGGAAGGTGTTTGGTAAATTAGTTGTTAGATGTTTGTTATAATTTCTTTTTTCAAAAAACTAATTGAAAAAACTGCTTTGAGCATCTTTTTTAATTTTAGCATTTTAGAGTTGAATTTTTACCCAAGTTAAACAATTAATAGTGGTTAAATAAGTCAAAATTAGTTTATAGGCTAATATTTTACCAAGCAGGGCCATTATCTTATATTGTACTGGTTATTTTAATTTCTTCTAGTTTTTAATGTTTTTTCTGCGTTGGTTGTTAAATGGTTATATGCGGTAGATAATGAAAGCTGTGACTTGTTTGATGGTGGGTGGGTTGAGGACAAGGAGGGTCCTCTATATTCAAATTTGAGCTGCCCAACAATCCCTTTGTCCAAAAATTGCTTCTATCATGGAAGGAAGGATAGAGATTTTGTTTACTGGAGATGGAAACCAGAAGGATGTGAGCTTCCTCGGTTCAACCCCAAAGCGTTTTTGAGCATTGTTCGAGGAAAAACAATGGCTTTCATTGGTGATTCACTTGCTCGGAATCATATGGAATCGCTTCTATGCCTTCTGTCTATGGTCAGCCTCTCTTAATTAGCTTCTTTAATTAATTTGCTACCATCCTTCTAATCCACACACACACACACATATATATATATATATATATATATATATATATGGGAGAGATAGACCGACACCCTTCTAAAACTGCAAACAAGACAAACCCACTTGAATTGAGAGTTCACAATAGGGAAAAAGTCCTTAAACTTTATTAAAAAGTCAATTATTAGGTGAACTTTTTAAAGTTGTAATTAAACTCATTAATATTTTATTTTATTGCAAGAAGCCAAAAAACAAGTTACTACAAGGGTTCTGGCACCATTTCTGACAAAAAAATCGATCGTCGTCGGTCGCCATCTCCGGAGGAGGCGACCAGATCCGATCGCCTTCTCTAGGAAGGCGACCATTTTTTGGTCGTTTGCTCCAAGAAGGCGACCATTTTCTTGTCGCCTCTCCGGAGGAGACAACCATTTTTTGTTCGCCTTCCGAGAGGAGGTGACGTCGCCTCTCTCTAGAAATTAGGTGACCAGTTTTGGTCAACTGGTCGCCTCTAGGCGTCAATGGTCAATTTTTTTGCAGAAATAATGTCGGAACCCTTGTGACCTAATATCACATGTCACTAACCTATTTTTAGATTTCATTGCACTAAAATAAAATGTTAATGTATTTAATTGTAACTATAAAAAATTTAGGCACCTGATTTGACTTTTCATATAAAATTTGAGGGCTTATTTGACCATTTTTAATTGATTTGTACTAGTCTCTATATCTGTTAATTATAGAGTTGCATTTATTACTGCACTGTTCGTATAACTGAAAAAGTCTATGCATAGAATCAATAATAATTGCATTACTTCTTCTTAACTAATACTCTTCACAGTGCATATGCCATAAAAACAACTTTTTCAGCAAATAATATTGTTGACTATGGACAAATATTCATTTTTAAATAAATGTTGCAGGAAGAAACACCAAGAAATGTATACGAGGATGCCGAGGACAAATTCAGAAGCTGGCATTTTCCCCACCACAACTTCACCCTCATGGTCCTCCGCTCAGAATTCCTTGTCCAAGCCACCCACAGGCTCATCAATGGCTCCTTCACAGGTGGTTTCCATTTGCACCTAGATCAACTGGATTCCAACTGGACCCAAAAGCTACCCATTATCGACTACGCCATTTTCTCCGACGCCCATTGGTTCCTCCGACCAAACTACCTGTACGAGGGTGGCAATCTCATAGGTTGTGTCTATTGCGGCGATCCAACCGTGAAGGATGTCGGCCCGGGTTTTGCTATCCGGAGAGCGTTCCGAGCTGCTCTCAAGTATGTGAACGAAAACCGCAATGGGGTTGTGGTGTTTTTGCGGACGTTTTCGCCGGCGCAGTTTGAGCATGGGGCGTGGAACAAGGGAGGGTTTTGTAATAGGACAAGAGGGTTGGCTAAGGAAGAGGTGAATGTTGGGGGGGATGATTGGGAGTTTAGGAACATTCAAGTTGAGGAGATTGAAAGGGCTAAAAGATATGGGGGAAAAAGAGGGAATAGGTTTGGGATTATAGATGTGACTAGAGCTATGTTAATGAGGCCGGATGGACACCCTGGGGAATTCTGGGGAAATAAATGGATGAAGGGTTATAGTGATTGCATACATTGGTGCTTACCAGGGCCTATTGACACTTGGAGTGAGCTTTTGTTACAGATGCTTCACAACACTAGTAGGGCTCTCAAGCAATCCTAGCTTGGGGTAGCTAGCATGTTGGGCAGAGGCCGGTGAAATGGGTGAATGATCATGTTCAGCACTCGATGATTAGAGGGATTGTTGGGTGGGTGCCGTTGAAGGGTCAAGTTCAGCATTCGATGGCTAGAGGGATTGTTGGGCGGGAGCCGGTGAAAGGCCTAGTCCAGCTCTCTCCTCTAAAAAAGGTGGTGGTATAAGGAAATAAAATTGTATTTTCGTTACGAGCTATAACTTTTAACATATCGGTAAGTACTTGATCCTAACATAGCATACTATGTTAGTCCCAAGCAAGTTAGAGTCTAGACTATAGGGGTTGAATATGCTTTAAGAAAATTTTTGAAGTTTTGAAAATTTGTATACAATAGAAGTCTTTTACTTGTATATTTTTAAGAAAACTTTTTTGTAGCTTAAGAGTTTGATCGTTTGTGTGCATGTGTGTGATATATATATGGATCAAGTAATAACAAAGCAAATAAAATAATTAAAGAAAGAGAGAGAAAGTTTATACTGATTTGGTGGATAGTGTGATCCCCCTACACCATTCTTCTCCTTCACACCAATGAAGAATTATATTCACTATGTAATTTTACTTCGATACAAAAGTTACAAGTGTATGTTAAGCCTTTCATAAAGCTCGATCACTAAGCTGGTTTAATTTGTTTCTTCTTCTCTTTTGATTGTCTTTCAAACAAGGGTCTTCAATTATTCCACAAGCCACCTTGATCTTCACTATCTTGCAATTGGCCTTTACACTAAGATTTGCCACAAAACTCTTTATAGGTTTGTTTGTTGTCTATATATATATGTGACTCTGTCGGTAGACTTCAACTTATATACTAGGTCTTCCTATCTGCTAGTTAGGTCTATGTTAGTTGGTATGCTAAACGTCTAATTCTTTTGATACTTGAAGTGTATCTTAGTTAAATTGAAGTTCATTGATTCCTGGTCTACTAGAATGTTTTTCTTTCGTGTGTAGGTTTGCTAAGTTAAGTCTTTGTCATTCATATCTATATTGGCTAGACCTATTTGAATTGCATGTTAATGTGGACTGAGTCCGATTTTAGTTTTTACAAAAAAAAAAGATTAAGAGTAGAAAATTACAAGTTAATTTGAGGGTCCGACCTAATTAAGGTGCTTAACTATGTGACATTACTTACCATCATCAAAATCTATCTAAATACGATTATTCTTAAGATCGAACTTCATCGTGCTTAATTTGATGATGCCTAAATCTTGACTTACAAAAAAAATGAAAAAGAAATATCTAATAATCACATTATATGTAGGGATGGCAATGTGGCGGGGTGGGTGCGAGGTTATATACTTTGCCCCCGCACCCGCATTCCCAACCCGCACCCGCGCGGATAATGAAATTCCTACCCCATACCCACCCCGCGGAGATTTTGCGCGTGCGGGTAATACCCAACCAGCAACTCTAATTATTAATATTATAATTAAATCTAATAAAAAATTTATACTGTAATTCTAATTATCACATGGATTTTTTTTTATAAGTTTGAACATAATTCTAAAATTTAATAAGAGTCAATGAAGTTAATCCTTAATTGGAACTAAAATTGTGTTGGTAGTATAAATTGTACTAAGTGTTTACTCATTATGTTATTTGTGTTGTTCCTATTCAATTTTCATTAACAAAAAAACTAAGAAGTTTAATTCATTATGCATTTTTAATTATAAAATATACATAAATTTATAGATAAATGAATACTAATAACAATATATATAAGTGCGGGTGCGGGGCGGGGATACCTCCCCCGCACCCGCCTCATACCTGCGCGGGTATATAAGATTTCTCCTATACCTGCACCTATTATCCAAATTGTGCGGGTATTTTAATACCCATAAGGGCGGGGATGCGGGGAACCCATTGGGTGCAGGTAGAATTGTCATCTCTAATTATATGTATGCACACACCCTAACACAAAGATGTACATATCTAGTAATCACTTTTTGTCTATAAGTTATACTAAAATTGTAAATTGCGTCTCTATTGTTTTATTAGTAAAGGGACAAAAAGTGCAACGTCAATGATAATTTAAGGACGAAAAGTGAGTATGACCAACACCTCGAGACGAATTCTACAATTAATTACCCTATAACTTAGAGACGAAATTTGTAAAATTTTCTATTTTTTATTTTGATTTGAATTCTTATCTTTTTACCAAAGTACCCCTGGATCGGAGACTCAAACCGTTCCGCACCCTAATTGGAAAAACGACCGACCATAGATAGTTCTATCGCTACGGGGATAGCTAAAAATGGCCTCTCCTCCACTAACAGTCTTCACAGACTCCTCTAATCCCTTTTTACACAACAAAGCCGCCATTCTTGTCCATCAATTCCGAATTTCCTCCACAGGTCGCCGGAGGCTTTCTCACAGGCCGATCGTCCGAGCGTCTATTAGCCGCCGGCAGCTGATAACCGCCGCCGTGATTGCAGCCTCGTCGTCTAAAGCTGCCGACACGGGAGAGATCCGAGCTAATTTTAGTACTAACAAATCCAAGCAGGAGAGACGACCAAGATTCTTCGACTTAGAGGCCAGAAAGATGTGCTGGGCCAAGGCCGAAACCGTTCCCGGTCGAGATCCCGGGAGGTGGAGAAAAGACGCCGCGGGAAACATTGTCGGCAAGCGTTTTCACAGCTGCCAAGGTTGCCTCTGCTTCGAGTACGACCATGTTATCCCCTTCTCCAAAGGCGGCGAGTCGGTGCCGGAAAATTGTCAAATTCTTCAGACCAAGGTCAATAGGTTCAAAGCAGACAAGGTTGCGGTTGACAAAACGCAACTGAAAGGGTATTCTTGCGCCATCAATTTCAGTGACAAAGAACTTGACACCATTGAGATTGGTGTTTATGGAGACATTATGCGACCGGGGAACCGATGCCGTGTCGCAACTATTGATGAAATGGTCGGAATATACAAGTCTAAAAACACCATTGTTACTTGCAACTCTGGGAATTGAAGTACATACTATGTATGTTCAAATCTTGTTGCATTTAGATATATCTACTTCCTTTTCTGATATCGTCATCAACAGCAGAACTACACTTCTCTTCCCTAACACACAAAACTTTAAGGTCCTGTTTGGTAAAATGACTGTTAGTTGATAGCGGTTTGCTGATAGCTGTTTGCTGTTAGCTGATTGTGTTAATTAAAGGGTATAAATAGTTGATAATATTAGATAATTGTAGAAAAGTGTTTGGTAAATTAGCTGTTAGCTGATAGCTGTTTGGTATAATTTCTTTTCTTAAAAAGCTAATTGAAAAAGTTACTTAAAGTAACTTTTTGAATTTTAGCCTTTTGGAGTTGCAAAAAGCTAATTAACCAAACATTTTTATTGATATTTTAACTAAATCAAACAATTAATACTGGTCAAATAAGTCAAAATTAACCTATAAGCCAATTTTTTACCAAACACTGCCTAAGTCAACCAAGAACTACATCTTTAAGTCATATGTACTACGAAGAGCAAAAAAAAAAAAAAACACCCAAAACTTGTCGCCATAAAAAAAAACACCCAAAACTTGTCGCCATTATTGAATACATAAAGCTACCATACACACTTGCAATTACAAAAACAATGTAACCCAAAATTAATATCATGTGCAAACCAAACCCACACCCACATACATATACATAATAACTACTTTAACTAAAGCATACTTTGTAGGATGGAGGTTCACAAGTTCGCTTGCTTCTCGCTCACAGGTTTGCTTGAAGAAATTTTGCTTCTTGTGCAGTCATTCATTGATGAAGATGCAAACAACAATGATGGATTTGTGGGATTGGGGTGATTCATGGGATTTGTGAATATGTGGGACTAATAATAAAAAGGAATATATTTTATTTAAAAAGTTAATTGATTAGTGAATAAATCGAGATCTACATAGGTACCATCGTAGCTTTAAAATCAAAATATGAAATCATAATTATACTTTTGAAGTTAAAATTATTGTAAAATGAATAAAGTAATAGATAATGAAAACGACTATACAAGTAAGGTTCAAAATGAGAAGAAAAATTAGACAGAAAATAGAGAAAAATATTAAATTATGATAAGGAAAAAGTTATGCCCACAAAATAAGGAGAAAGAGAGAAAAAAAAGATAGAAATGCTCTAAAATTGCATCCAACCCACTATGGCACTAACTCACAAAATAGCTTATCATGCATTCAATACGATGGTCTGGTGGGTGAAAAATATCATTTAAACAGCTTATCATGCTCTCAATGAATTGGTCTAGTAAATGATAAGTATCACTTGAACGGATTGAATTTATGTTATATTTTTTATGTACAAAAGTGTATAATTTGATCTAAATTGATATGATTTACCTCGTAATAATTTATGATATAGAAAGTAAAAACACAGAGGAACTAAGTTATTTTTATTTATTAAAAAAAAAGCCTATCGTATTCAAGCACGGGCTTATTTTGCCGGTTTTCTGTTTAGGTGTCAATTTTGACAAAATCTCATTCTTTGAACGCAGCCTCTCCGCTATAGGCAGATACACTCAGTGGGCGAGTTCTTCTTCTTCCTCTTCATCCATCATTCATGGCAACCTCCAAGCTCCAAGCTCTCTGGAATCACCCCGCTGGCCCTAAAACCAGTCAGTTCTCGCCTTTCTTTAAAATTCCTTCTTTAGATTAGAATACTTATATCCGTTCTAGGTTTGTATTTCATTTTCTTAAATTTTTCTGCTTTTAGAAATTCGTTGAATCGATACGCAATAGAAATTAGTCAGTGATTGCGTTAATAAATCAGGCAAAAAAGGAGATAGTAAAAATGAATCGGTCGAAGACGAGATTCTGAGAGGGATCGGAATTAGATTAGGAACAATCTGGATCGGAATTAGACGAGATTCTGATAGATAACTGATTTGTATTCTTTTGTTTTGTTATTCTAGTTCATTTCTGGGCACCAACCTTCAAGTGGGGTATTAGCATAGCTAACATTGCTGACTTTGCTAAACCACCAGAGAAGCTCTCCTATCCCCAGCAGATAGGTATGTCCCTGTAATCTATGCATCCTCTCAAACTCCATCACCCTTGTCTAGGTATTTTGGTATGTGGTTAAACGTCGAAACAGCTTTCAGCGAGCTTCTAATAGCAGCAATGTTATTCTTATTCACTGCATTTAGGTAGATATTGTAATTTGGCTTAATGCTCTTATCATCCATGCAGCGGTTACTGCCACTGGAGTTATCTGGTCACGCTATAGCACTGTAATTACACCAGTAAGTTCCTGGCTTTATAATCTGTAAAACATTCATGTAGAATTGTATCATTTTTATATGAATTTTAAAATACAAAATTTTAGGGAGCAAGACATTGTGTAAAACTGTAAAAGCTAAAAGCAGATGAGAAACAGAAGCTAACTATGCAAACCTTCCAAGTTTTGTGAAATTGATAGCAATAATTTCCAAAATACATGATTCCTCTTTAGCCCACTAAAAAAAAGAAAATAAGAAATGTACTGATTGATAGCATGCCTTGTACTTCATGTTGTACAATCTCTAGTGTATAGTTACAGCTAAGAGCTGAAATATCAGTTGCTGTAAGCAACCAAGCATCCATGTTTGGTTAGTTTTGTACTGTGATTATATAAATTGCAGGTTTTGTTGTTTCAATTCAAATACTTGATTCATATTCCTTAGGCATATTAATTACTATATCAATACCTGTGTTCCCATCCTAGTAATTCAGGTAAAGCTTATGCTATATTAGACATATCTGTTCATCTTCTGTTACTTATCTTTTTCTTTTCTTCTCTTGAGTGGGAATGGAGACAAGACCAGAAGATCTTTACCTGGAACTTGACATATTAGAGAACATAAAATAATGAACACTCCTTTTTGCCTTGGCTTAATTATTCTGATTTACTAATCATCTACTAGAACGATTGGCCATTTCTGAAAGTATGGTTGTGTTAGAACCAATGAGTCTTTCTATAGAAACCTTTCCCCAACTGTTTTTGGATGGCGTTCTGTTTCTTGCACAACGAAGTATTGCCTTCTACTAATAATATCCTCCCTGCTTCTTGTATACTATTCAATCATGTTAAGTGCTTATGTCTGTCTGCTGCATGTGTGCAAACAAAAGGAGTTTCATTTTGCCTACCTTTACTATACATTTTATGTATTTTATGTATGTGGAATCAGTACCCTCAGAGCTACTCTCTTTGTCTTTTTGGACTCATCTTTAACGATTTGTGTAGAGCTTTTGGTATCTGAAGTATAATTCTGAACCCTCTTGGTTTCTTTTCCAAATCATTGATTCTGAATTGCAGAAGAACTGGAACCTATTTAGTGTAAATGTGGCCATGGCAGGCACCGGCATCTACCAACTTACTCGAAAAATAAGGTATATCAGATTTTCTTAATTTCATATTGTTTAGTTGCTTGCCAACTTAAGTCAAGTGGATTTTCATCCTTTGAAGATGAAAAATTATTAGCTCAGCTCCATTCCCAAGTGAACAATGGGAATATATCTATCTTACTTAAAATTGTGCAGAATATTATTATATATTTCTTAGTATGTTTACCTCGCAATTTTTTATATCCTTCAGGCATGATTATTTTAACGAAGAGCATGCAGCTGTAGCAAAAGAGTGATGATGGAAACCGCTTCACTCCATCACTGTACTCGACTTTAGTTGTTGCTGAGTCACTTCTCAAAGATCCTTATTTGTATATCGCCTTTAGTGACTTTTCTTGTTTTCCCTATGTTATACATTTGGATTTTGTATGTTCTTTCATCAAAATCCACAAATCAAACAACAATAAGGCTAGTTGCTTTCAGAATTGCAACATTGCATCTATGATTTACATGTGGTTTTACTGTTGAGTATTTTTGTTGCCATGAACTAAGAGCTATTGCTGCTATGGCGAAAATATTCTCCTCTTTTTTGTTTTTATCTCGTTTCTCAACAAGGTTTGATCATTTTGGACTGCTTTACCTATGGGGTATTACCATGGGGATTTCCTACACAGTACAATGAGAATTTTTGTCAAAACGCTAATTATTAACGACTGCGCAAGGCTGGGGCTCCTTACACTCGAGGATATTAGTCTTTTGTTTAGCTTTTCTATTTGGAGCTGAGCTCTTCCTTCCAAAAAAAAAAAAAAAAAAAAAAAAAATGATTGTGCAAGGCTTGAGTTCCTTCTTTATTGGTCAATTTTATGCAACTAGCATGACTTGTATGTATTCAACTATCTTTGTATGCCTAGGAGTTAATATCCGATTTGGTCTTCAACTATGTCGGTTTTACTGATACAATCTTGAACTTTTAATCTTACACAAAACACAATTAAACTCTTACTATGAAAACCATTAACTAGTTTGGTCTTATGTTGAATTCCCCATCTATTTTTAAGAATATTTTTAAAATACTAGTGAGTCACGCTATTAGCTTCTTCTAAGTCATTTATATACGCTAGATAAGAAGCCCTAAACAATTCCACATTTTCTATACATAATGCAATTAATTCAGAAGAAGAGAGTTATGATTCATCAAATAGTAAGAATCAAAAATTATTTGTTCAAAATGTTGAAGGATTTCAAGTTAGGCAAGTTTTGAAGATATGCTTTTTAGGTTTGGGTTTGGTTAAAGAGAGAAAGAAGGATTTAGTCGAGAGTTATGAGAGATACAAAGGAAACTTATTTAGATTGCTTCTATGATCCACCTTACAAGCTACATAGAGGCTCTTTATATAGATAACCTCGAGGGTAACATAGGTATTTAAATATTCGTAAAGTCATAAAGACTATAGTATATTACATTACTTTGTCTAAAGATTATGGTAGGCTATATTACTGAAATTTAAAAAGCTTTGAGTCAACAATTACTTTATTTTGTTTTTACATAGATATTTCTAAAGAAATATAGTACTTTTTCTGTCATAATACTTTATCTTCTTCTCTTTTTCTTTCAGTTGGCCTTGTTGATAAGCTTGAATTGTCGGTCAAGATTCTTTTTTTGGTCATGTTATTTGTTCAATCCGCTACCAAAATGTGGATTGGATAGGAATAAATTTGACAAATCCTTATTCACCCCTATCAAATGGTACCATCACAAATACCTACACTATAGAAATAGATCCTTGCATACCATTGTACCAACATTTATCATTTTTAAGTTTGTAGGGAAAAAATGTTAATTATATATATACTTTGTACATCCCCCTATTGTCAATTATACCACAACTAGACACTGTTATAATGTAGTATCTGTTCATATAAATTTTTCAATCTATCCCATTTGAGAGAACCACAATTATGCCGCTTGACCACAAGGTTTGGTTACAATTTTGATTTTTAAACCCATGCCTGCCATTAGTAACTTTATTTATGCATCATGTTGTACCATCCCCAGTTTCAGGTCAAAAAAAAAAAATATTCCTTTCTTCCTGCGTTATACTAAGCATTTGTTTTTACAATTAATAACAAGAGAGCTAATAATACTCCGTAGTATGTAAAGCATACAATAACTTAATGAGAAATAACATTTTACAACATTATCTTTTCTAACCATATAGAGAAAAGAGAAGAGTATTATACAGTAGTTTGCTTTTGTGTTTGACTGAAAGCTCACTTGTGTAACAGAGGTGATCTTCCATTTGGTGATTCAGGTTCACACACAATCTCCTCAAGCTCCACCATAGCTTTCTCTTTGGCCTTCCCCCACATCACCGTATAAAATCCAACGATAATGATTATTGCTCCAATCACACTGCCCATAATTATATGGATTAGATCTACATAAACAACTCTCAGTAATTCGCGCAACCACTACCCGAGGGTAGAGTTGTCAATGCAGGCTGGCAAGATGGGACCCGCCAAAATGCGGGCCTAAGTAAGGGCAGCCTACCCTGCCCCCTTAGGCCTGTGGGTCCGCAAAAGCCCACCAGCCTGCCCCGCCTAACATACGGGCGAGCTAAAAACCCCACTCTAATATGGGTTTTAAAAACTTGACCTCGCTCCGCCCTTCTGGCGGGGCGGGACGGGCTAACCCGTTTTGACGGCTCTAGGTAAATCCCGCCTTTTGACCCTAGTTGAAAAAGGACCAGATAGAAGTAAACCAGCCTAGGTTACCCCTGACCGGCTCAAACTAAGAAGGTTGAGATTTAAACTCGTGAGCTTGTGATTACAAAGTTGTATCCTTAGCCATCTTAGCTGGGATTACCAGTTACCCCAAACAACTCTCATTAGTAATTATCATCAAAGTATGACATTTTACCTCCCCAAATGAAGAGCGTCTCCCAAGAACAAGTAACTCGTGAAAGCTGCAATGACCACGAACAGGGGCTTGAACGTGGCTACGTAAAGAGGACCCTTCTGTTCCAAGCACCAAGTCGTAACATTTCGGTTGAACACAGCACCAAATATTGCCTAGAGCAAGGATTGGTTAGTCTTCACCAATGTAAACCATCATTATCGAGAAGGTGGAGGCCGGAGGAACAAACACAAGTTTATGGTGATAATAACAAAATAATGTTTGAACTCGAGTAGAGTAGAAATTTCTTACTGAAAGAACAACTGCTATAATCCCAATTCCAGGCACCAGGATCCAAGCCTCTAGATTCCTTTCCATAAATAGAGAGAAAATGGCACATTGGATGGTCCCAAAGCAACAAGTGAAGAACACTATAGTAATTTGTTCAGGGAATTCCTTTACAGTAGCTGTCTGAAAGTATAAAAGTAGGATATAATCATAATCTAGCACTCAAAGGTCATGTTTGGTAATATAGTTAGTAGATTAAAAAAAGTTGCTCAAAGTAGCTTTTTCAATAAGCTTTTTGAGAAAGTCATTTTGCATGTAATCAGCTATCAGCTAACAGCTAATTTATCAAACACTTCTCTATAATCAGCTAATGCTATCAACTACTCAAACTCACTAACTCAATCAGCTAACAGCTATTTACCAAACACCGCCAAAATAAATGCATCAGAAAACATATAAATGTCAACTCATGATTAATTCCTTAATGAAAATGCAAGTTATGAAGCATAAGCTTTGCACTAGAGACCTCATCAAGATATTGCACCAGTTAGAAGGGGCAAGTAAGTTTGAATTCATTTTACCTGAAGAACATTCCATCCAGATAACATAAGACTGGCACCTGTAAATAGAACGCCTCCAAGTACCCAATTTGACTGTTGTGCCTCTACAGTCTGATCAGGTGCATTATTGGCATCAGAAGATGAAGTATATCCCAGGATTATTGGGCCTTCATACAAAGTCATGACAGATGCCCCTATAATCGCCACTATGGTGCCCAAGGATTTTGCTTGACTGCTAGCTTTTCTTACATCTAACTTCTCCATCCTATAAGCTTTTAAAATTAGCAAGAATTGCACAACAACAATAAGAAATTCAATATTATCTAACTTAAACTCCATAACATGTAGAAAGATCCTTCATAGCCTTAAACTAATGCCGTTTAGGTTCTGTTTGGCAGAACTTATAGCTTATTTTAAGCTATAAATAAACTATAACTTCTGTTTGGTAAAGCATAGGGAGCTTAAAATAACAGTTTATTTTAAAACACTACCCTAATGAGCGTTTCAAAATAAGCTAATAGCTACTGGTTTTTAAGCGCTAGGTATGCCAAACAAAGTCTCAGAGTTTTAGGAGATTCAACATATTCTCACCTAATCACCTATTAATCCAATTAGTGATTCTTTATGACAAAATGAACATATACTATCATCTAAACCATGATTCTTTATGACAAATTGGTTTTATTTGACTAACAAATTTTGAAGGATTAGTCAAGACATGCTTAATTACCTGAAAATTACAGCAAGCAAAAATGTAAAACCAGGGATTAAATTGCTAATGCCACCTTCCAGAGTTGGGGAGCTGTATTTGAGCCCTTCAAAGAGACATATCTGCATCAAACAAATCCTGCAGTGCATTTCATTCTTCAATTTAGACATTCAATTCTCTTTCAAGCATTTCCCATTACAAAAACAACAAAACAAAAGGGATAAAGTTTGAATTTTTTTTAATACCCAAGCAAGCCGAGGATGAAACATTTACATAGGACAGAGAAGGTGAGAGAAGGCACATCACTTCTGAAACATTAAAAAAAAACATCAAAACCCAGAAATATGAGCTAATTAGACAAGATTGATATGGGAATTTGGTGTAGAATTGAAGGGATTAATTATATTATACCTGCGGCGTCTGATGATGAAGGTGGGAAGAAGAAGAAGGGTGCCGAGGAAATTGTAATAAACAATGTAGACAAGAGTGCTGAGACCCGCGTTCATGGCAGCTTTAGATAGTGTTCCAATGGCGACCTCCACGCACTCCACCGCTATCATTGCTGCAAAGGGTAAAACTTCCCCGCTTAAAAACTGGTTCCCCATTGCCACCATATCCCAACTCTCCAACTCTTTCGCTACCACGTACAAGTCCCCGAGACACCATATAGCACACAGAAACACTATTCTTTTTTTCTTTATAGTTTTTTCATTCTAAGGAAAATAAGAACGTAGCCGCCACCCACCACGGAAGCTAGGTAGGTAGGTGTAAAGGAGCACCAGACTAAGTAGTTGGCTGCAAAGTTTATGTAGCAAAATAGAGAGCACATAAATTCTAAAATTATTTTATCTGTTTCATTTAGTATTTATAATAAAAAAAATTCAAAAAAAATATTTTTTTATTTTATTTAATATTACATTATAATATGCTTCACATTTTTTAAAATTAACAAACTTTTATTTTTGAAACATTCATGGTTATTTACAAGATAATATTTGTTTTATATTTTTTCAATCTTTTATCGTTCAAAGATGCAACACCTGTTTGAAATGGAAACAAAAGTGAAACCACACTATAATAATTTCACTACTATGTGAAATACAATTTTCACTCAATTTATATATATATATATATATATATATATATATATATATATATATATATATATATAGGGTTGCACTCAGGTGCGAATAAGTGCTCAGGAGGGAAATGCGAACGAATCAGCGCGCAACACGTGTCCAGATCTAATAACTTAAAAAAAATGCGGTGGCATTTTCGTAAATAATTGAACATCGAAGTGCAAGTAAAATCACTTACAAGTGCACCTACTTTCACCTATAAGTGCATGTAATTTTGCTTTGTTAGCATTCACTTTTCGCAAACATTCATGCACCTGGGTGTGCTTATAACTATATGTGCAACTATTTATAACTATAGGTGCAACTACTTATAACTATAGGTGCACCTACTTTCACCTATAAGTGCATGTAATTTTGCCTTGTTAACATTCATTGATCTGAGTTCAGCGGGTAGTAATACCCCTGAAAACCACTCGCAAACATTCATACACCTAGGTGCAACTACTTATAACTATGTGTGCAACTACTTAGAACTATAGGTGCAACTAAGTATTGATGCTCAGTGTAAATTTTTACTTGCACCGATAATACATTTTACATGCCCTTGTAATACATTTTACTTGCACTTTGATGTTCAATTATTTACGAAAATGCCACCGCGTTTTGTTAAAAAATCAGTGTTTCTCATCCATTAGATCTGGACACATGGACGGACAGACTCCATTCCTATTTCGCGCCTGGGCGAAGCATTCGCACCTGAGTGTGATTCTATATATATATATATATATATATATATATATATATATATATATATATATATATTATTTGGTGACACTAAAATAATTTATATAAAAATAATGGAAATCTGTTAGAATTTCAATGTATCTTGTATTAATCTTAGGCTCAGAGCTATATATATAGAAGTAAGAGAAGAGTAAAAATGGACCGGAGGAGAAATTAGAAATATGTAGAAACTGTTCAAAGACCAGCTTTTATTCATAACACACACATATACTCCGTATATAACTAGTCTTTTTCTTTCAATGAGATAATGCCCAATAGGTCCTTCCAACTTTACCAGTCACTTTTTTGTTTAAAATTGTGCCGGGCGGCTGAATCTCTAATAACTTGTGATAGTAAGTCATTTATTGATTTTTGGGCTTAATTGCGTTAAAATGGAATGTTGATGGGTTTAATTGATTCTTTAAAAAATTTAAGTGCCAATTTGACTTCTTAAGTAAAGTTAGGGGCCTATTTGACCATTTTCCTTAATTATTTAGTTTGAATTGAAGTGTATAGGGGAGATCGTATGCAAACTTGGCTTTTCGTGCAAACATGCATATCTAAAAACATAATAAGTCTCAATCAAAATTATATCCCTAATTTATGTCCATGTTTTTAGTGCTAATCATTTTTGTACATTGTGCTTTTAGGGTTGTACTATATATTTTTTTTTGGACAAAAATATCACAATTGTTACAACTTTCATTATCTTTTTCATTATTGTTATCATGCACATGCATCCACCATATATTTTATTATATTCTTTAATAATAATAACATTTATAGACATTATATATTGGATTAATATAATAAATAAATTTGATTTTATATAGATTTTAAATAGTAAACATTTATTATTTATTTTTAAAAATATAAATATTGTGCATATGTTTTTGCACACCACGTATAGAAAAACTAGTTAATTAATAATATCCAAAAATATTAAAATCAATTGAAAAGATGATGATATAATTGTAGTTCTGCAGAAGTTTTACTAGCTAATAAACAAAAGATTTAATTATCAAAATAATTCCTTGACTATTGTAAAATAACAAATTTAATTCTCAATTATTATTCTTGTCCAACTAAATCCTCATATATACAAATGTTACTCATTTAAGTCATGTGTTAATGCCACCGTGAAATTTGAGGATAAAAATACAATTTTACATGTTTAAATATTTAATACACGAAATAGTCCTTGAATTATGACAAAATTTTCAAAGTAATCCGCTGATTGTGAGAATTCACTAAGTGCCTATTTGGCTGGAAGTAATTTAGCTATAGTTGAATTGCAATTTTATGGAAGTCACAATTATACTGTTTGGTTGGATGGAATTGCAATTCTCTCCAATTGCTGAATTAGAATTCAGAGCACCCCCCCCCCCCCCCCCCCCCCCAAAGAATTACAATTTGGTGGTTAATGCGAGAAAAAAAAGATAGTGCGAAGACAATTTTACCCATCTAATAATACCCTTGCCTTATTAGCTGTCATCCACCATCTCATTCTCATCTTTATACTCTCCTGTCTCACCGTTTCTCTGTTTGGGAAGGTGCAAAACCATAAGCAGATGAAAAGATCCAGCGATTGTGGGAAGGAGGTGAAGGCGTGAAACTTCTTTCTCCTAGTTTTTCAAGTAAAAATGTTCTCTCTCTTCTCAATCCCTTGTTAGACTTGATTATTTTATATGTTCTTGATTTGAATTTGGATCTAGGTTTTGGTCATTTTTCTTGATTTTTCATTCTAATTTTTTTTTTGTGTGTTTTTTGCAAAATGAGATTTTAAAAGCTCATTCATCGGTTGCTAAAATTACAGAGAATAGAAGATTAAAAACATTTTCTCTCCAAACAACTGCTTTCTCTCCATTTTCCATCTGTAAAGGCCCTGCGACTCCATCCTCCGGCTGACGCTCTAATGGAGGGTTGAGCCGGTGGTGCCATTAGTAGACTCCATCATCTGGTTGTTTTAGGAATAAGCGTTAGATCTCAGATTTTCTCCGATCGTTTTTTCAGAAAAGGCATCAGAGACTCTCCAGATCTGACATGTTTTCTATCATCTTTTCAATTTATTTTGTTTTCTTTTGATTCTACGTTATCCCTGTTGGATATTGGTGAATAAATCGATACACAAAATATATATATATAATATATAATTGTCCCAAAAAAATGGAATTTAATTTATAGAAAATTAATTCCAACCAATTTTGGTACGAAACCAAAATTACATATATATACAACGTATATATATTAACCAAATAGGGATTTATTTTATCAAAATAATCCCACCACAACTAGTACAAAACTAGTACACGGGACTTAATTTCCACGAAATTAATCCCACCACAACTAGTACGAAACTAGTACAAGGATTTAATCTATCCGAGATTAATCCTACCACTTGGTCCGAAACCAAGAACAAAAAATAAGCAAGAACGGGTTTCTAACCTGAGGTTTCAACCCAACGCGAAGAAACAAGAAGAAGCAGAGGAAGCCCGAGTCGTGTGTACACACACTCTCCTTAAAACCGATTCACCACCTCCCGAGGGTGCTAGGATCGTTGTGGCGTCAGTCTCCCAGGATAAAACGGACTACGACTTTGGCGTTCGAGCACTCCAACCCAAAGCCTAGCGAACTAGAACACAAGTTGAGCACTCCGACGTTTTACGGAAGTGTTGGTAGAATCTCTTTGCAAGAAACAACTTTTTAGAGAAGATGAGAGAAAAATATGATTTTTCAAGTTCAAAAATTGGACTGAAACATTCTACCCAACACATAGGTTTTTATAGGGGAGAGAGGAGTTAGTAGCCCACTAAATGGCATATTAAACCAACATAAATCCACGATTTAATTATTGGATAATAACGTTTGAAACGGTCGTAATTATTATCGTAATAATTCCAACGGTCACGAACTTAATACGCGATTAATTCGTACCGACCACAACGACCCGTTTCAAAAAATCTGAGTGACCGAAAAGTCCGTACAAACCCGAATGTTTAACGAATTGGGATTGGAAACCACACCCGAGTGGTCCACACGCACCGAAACGGTGCAGCACGAATCAATGCATATAGCATTTGATTCGTGCACACCGAATCCACAGCACGAAAGGAGCTCACACGAAATGAACTCATAACTCAATTCACTAATTAAGCTTTAGTTCCATTTCTCAAATTAAGCTCCCAAAGCTTAATTACACAACTTTCGTGTAGCACTGAATGCTAAGCACGAAAGGAGCTCCACTACTCCCAATTCAACTAAGCTTTTCAAGCTTAATTACACTTAAGCTTCCAACCAACTTTCGTGCAAACGAAGGTTATTAAAATGCTAATTCCCAATTAGCATTTAAACTTAAGTTTTTGACTTCTCTCAAATAGGTTCTCTTTGAGAATCAATTTCTCATTCACCTATTACCCATTTTGAGCGTACATTATATCAAATTCTTCGTCTCACTACGAAGAATCCGAATCCACTTTGACCCGACCCAAATCGGAAGTGGACCCATATATATTTGTACCACAAAATAATCACTCAAAATGCCATTTTTAGCTAAAAATTTCAACAATCCCTTTGTTCATTTGACTAGTTTGTTTTCTCTCGTCTCTCTGGCGAGTGTTTCCCTCTCGTTTTTTTGGCGAGTTTTCCTCTCGTTTCTTTGGCGAGTTCTCCTCATAAGCGTAGAATGATAAAATGGTCACACCAGAGTCAAGCTTGGCTATGTTTGACCAGATCTGTGAAGAAGCACCGAGTTCATCCAACAACTTCGGCTTCAAATTTCTAAAACAGTCCGTCGATCCAAGTTTTCTATAACATTACTAGGAAATTTGTTTCTATGTCTGACTGTAAAGAATGCACTGTCATTCTAACGACCTGTATTGTAAACATTTCTGTTTATGATTAATGAATTAACCTTT